ACCTGCTTCGGTCTGTGCACCCGGGCAGTATTAGAGCCCTCACACATATCGAATGGGATTTGTGTGGCGCATATGTATTTGGTGCCTCCTTGTAGCAATATATATGTGTTAAAATAAATAATAATTAAATGTAAAGCAGCTGCATTGAAATCAACGGAATTTATCTATTTCGTGGTGTGTGCTACTAATTTCGACAGATATAACCAGTGTGTATCGTCAATCAAAAGTAAAATGCCTGGTGGTAGACGCTTAAGAAGATCGAAGAAAACAGAACGAGAACAGAGGATGATCAGTGTGGAAACAAAGGGACAGTCAATTGATTGACATTTTGCAAATGAAGTATTTACTGTATGGTTCTCAGATTCTACTAAAATGTTCTGTAATTTTATATTCAAATACATTTGATTGTTCCCAATTGTGTTCTCATTCACTACACTAACAATTCGTTGAAATAAAGCTACTGATATTTAATAGTGGATCTATTGCTTGAAGAAGTTCAAAACTTTATTCTTCTATTGTATATTAAGAGTTCTATTTAAATCATATTTATTACCACAAGATCATTTATAAAGTATTGAAAATCGCTTCAGTTTGTTCATTAATTTTCTCTACTGACTTCATTGATAAAATTTCAATATTCGATTGACACTAAAGCGTATTGATTACAAGGACTAAAGATATTTCAAGTATCTAAGAAAACGACTAAGAATCTATTCACAGAAAAATACAAACATATATATTATAGACACCTTAGTCCCTTCCATTTGAGTTAGTTTATCATGATGTCTACCATGGATATGGAAATCTCGAGCTTCAAAAAAACTCATGGGTGAAAGAGAAACATTCGTATAACACACTATTTTCTTTAGTGCCAGAAAGGGTTTTGTGGAGATTGTAGTAATTTCAACAGTTGAGATGATGAGTCAAATGAAGCTAGACCACCATGAAAAACCGTCCATGCCGTCCAGTGCTCCCAGGTTTTCCATGTTGATCTAGCTTCAATTGACTCATGATCTCAACTGTTGAAAGTATTTTATTTGTAAATTCTCTTTGATATTTATGTTAGGCTATATTTTATGTACGGAATAGTACAACTTTGGAGGAGTAATCTTCTATGACCTTCTAATGAAAAAAAATCTGAGCTATCAAAAGAAATAAATATATCGGTGGTAAATTTAAATAAGCGAAAAATTTATGACACAGGTTGATATAATAAAGCTTTACATTATTCTACTACTAAATGTTTTGTTAGTAGTTAAATTGCTTAAACAAAAAAAGTATCGCTTTCCTAACTCATTTTAACACTGGTCATTTAAATGTCGAGAAAGCAATATACAAAGAAATACTGATGAAAGTCTTATTTTATAATCTTCTTACATGTGAAAACCATGTTTTGCTAAAGTTAATAGAGATTCTTCATTCTTTCAACAAGTTTTTTTTAGTTTCACACTGAAAGGATGTTTTTTCATAGTGAATTAATTCGAAGTGAATATATCAAATGCGTGTTATGATAGATGCTTTAGAAGTATCATGAAAGATATTACATACTTCCAGCAATTTTAAACCTTTGAATTTTAAAATCTCTGAGAATACAGAAGGATCCGATTTGTGTATTGCTCAGCAATCTGGATTACTACTTACGTCTGTTACTTCTCATAGACTAACATAGGTCAACCCCAGCACTCTCGAACCAACTCTGCCCTGGGCCCGATTTCTCCGGTTGTTTCCAGTTGCTATTCATTCTTTTCATTTCTACTTCTAATTCTCGGCTCAGTGTGTTCCTTGGTATTCCTCTTCTTCGTTTCCATTCCGGATTCTATGTTAGGACTTGCCTTGTGATACAGTTTGATGATTTCCGCAATCTATGTTCTACCCACCTCCATCGTTTTTTCCTAAATTCCTCTTCAGCTGGAAATTGTTTTTTTCTTTCCAACAGTAGGTTGTTGCTGATTATACATGGACAATGGATCTGGAGCATCTTTAGTAGGCAATTGTTTATAAATACTTGAACCTTCTTGATTATGGTTGTGGTAGTTCTCCAAGTTTCAGCTCAGTACAGCAGAAGTGCCTTGACGTTCGTATTGAAGATTGTGACTTTGATAGTGATTGACAGTTGTTTAGAGTTCTATATTTCTTCAACTGTAGGAATGCGGCCCGCCTGTAACTCTTCTACAGTTGCTCCCGGCCCCAAGTCCGGGTAAAAGAGAAGGGTTGGGCATAGAGTCGGCAACCCCATCCCGTAGGAAATAATCTGGATAAAAAAACGCCATCCATATTCTGGCGCACTACTATTCGTAAATCCTAGACAGCCAGAAATAAAAATGTATAATATTCCTTAAGCATCTGTATCATATTTAGTGAAGATGGTTTCTGGATATAAAAGGGAATATTCTAGTTCTCCGATTCTACATATACATGGAAAGCTAGAGATGGGTCAATATGTTTGGGAGATTATTGATGCCTAGAATATTCATTGTCATGACTTTAAAGCGTTGGGGTGGTCCAGAAAACTTCTTGCAAAATATAAGAAAGATTCAAGAAAACAGTAAGAAGCATTTTATCCAATCAGCGTCCACTAGAAGTTTGGCCAGAAATATCAAGAAAGCGAAAAGTCACATGTAGAGTTTCTGACTGGCTGATTACTTACACTGCTACTATGTTTAGTACTTACTTACTTACTTACGCCTGTTACTCCTCGTGAAGGAGCATAGGCCGCTCACCAGCATGTTTAGTAGCATTCCAGAATTTTCGGGAAACCGAAGGACATCTAAAATACTATAAAAACCCTATATTTACTGTACTAAAACGAACCTTTGAAGTAAAGTGCTTCTTGCATATCTTGCGCTTTTTCGTTCTTGTTCAAGCCTCTGTGTAGTTCTAGCTTAGGAATTATGAGAATAGCTTAGGAACCGAATATAGCATTCAGTTAGCAAAACTTATCATAAAGTACGAAAGTAAATCCTTAACCTTCCTTAGAAAGAGTCAGCCTATGACATTAGCAAGATTTCTTCTGAGAGTGAATTACATAGCCTGTACACTCACGCAGGTACACAAAAAATGGAATTCTCCAAAAATGGCTATATATGTGTATATTATGAATAGTTTCGAATTCAAATAAAATCAAGATGTGTCCCTAATGTAAAGTGTTTGTTGGATTGTAGATATTGTATAAGATGAAACAATTCAAACACATATTCCATTGGAGTAATTCTGTGACTAGTTCAGTAAGCAATCACTTGTATCTAAGAATTGATATTTCAAACAGTCGATACAATCAACACATGATGGATTCTATAGATTAGCCTTTTTCAATATAACCATTAAGTTAAATGACTCAATGATTGATTTCAATATAGGATAACTGAAGACAGTCAACACTTGGGATGGTGGAGAAGATTTGTAGCTCTATCTGAAGTTTGTGCTGATGACGTCGTTCAGAAGAACGATGAAAGCTCCACGATCAAACCATCCAGCTCAGAGAACAAAACTCTATCAAAGTCAACACTTGGTTATACTTAATTGTAAAATTTAACTTATAGAAGAACTCTTGTTTTACGTTGGCACTTTATGAAAAATTCAATCAGAACTCCACCTGGAGCCCCTCTGAGACTACTGACTATTCTAAGCCCGAATAAAGGAGGAGGGTTGGGCATGGTGTTAGCGAACCTATCCCGTGTAAAACTAACTCGCTTAAAAGAACGCTAACCAGAATCATTGATAAAAATTTTATGCAAACACTTTTAACCCAAATATTATTTGCTTATAATCTACATCCTGAATAGATCTTGTTTAAACAATTGATCGAGATCTAAAAAGATTGAACAACTGTTTCATCTTTATATAGGGTTTCTCAGTAGTAAGAATTCGGAATATCATCGAGGAGTGAATTTAGAATGGTTATATTTCACTGAAACAGCTTAACATCTAGACTACTTCTTCGACATTCAACGGTTTACATGTATAACTTCCATCAACTTACAATGTCACTGATAAGCAATAACCGTACATATATGTCTTTTTGACTAATATATTACTTATTCATAACTTGTTCAAATTCATTATGAATGGTATTTTATTGATTTAAACACATAAACATTGGTACAAGGAGGCACCAAATAGATATGCGCCACACAAATCATTCGATTTGTGTGAGGGCTGGGATACTGCCCGGATGCCCAAACCGAAGCAAGTGGTTTTCGTAGGCGGCCACACCCCGAGCCCTTGACCTAAAGGTATAATCTACAAGGCAATGGAGCATCATGAGAAGATGCAGTCCCATGGGAGCCGGTGACCAACGATTGTTTTATACGCCATTTGTTCATTCAGCATACTGGAGCTCATGTGCACCATTGGTTTGGAATCCGGTTAAAGCGCTGGACATTCGCTTTTCATCCTCTCATTTTCGTAAACAACACCCTCGTCACGAGAAAGCAGTGAGTAGAACTTCCCTGGCAAAGGCTGTATACACGTGCCCATGTAAGAGCATTTCGAGAAAGAGAGCGGACTCTCTCCACTCTCGGCTGTACCAGGGCATTTGGGGGCATTACGAATGGTATTAATTCTATTATTTTCCAACGCTATTTAAGTCGATGATTATATATGAGGATAGCCAACATTTCTATTTGTTATAACTTGTGGGTTTGTGCCCCTATCAATGTATAACGTAATGATACCGCCAATTATTGACCGAATCAATGACGCATAAAACTCATACAAGTAGTTTAGAGTCTTTATTGCTCCTGTTTCCCGCCTAACCCTGCCTGTTGAATCTAGAACACCCATTTCAGCCTTTGTGATATGAATCATTTATTTCAAACATACTGGGTTCATATTACAAATCTCTAGGCCAAACAAAAAAAAAACACTTTCATATTAAACATTACCTTCCATTGATAATAACTCATTACCATGAACTGTATTCATGATAATCAAAAGGTATTAGATAATATCTATATTCATAAAGTGTTATAACCTTTCACATTCATTTATCTCTTTTATAGGTTAATAATAATAAGAGGAAGGGAGGGAAGAATTCGGAATGATAACATGAACAGAAGAAAAAAGAAAAACAACAAGAAGAAAACTTATTTCAGGGTCATCAATGAATGATTAACTAATCTATTTCCCTTTCACTTGATTTATTAACTTTAATTGTATGGTAATCATATTACATCATTCTATTAATCACTAAGTAGGTATTATGTATCTAAGTATAAAAAATAAATTCTATCAGTAAATAACCTGAAATGATCATCATATCAAACTGTCAAAATGATCATCATCTTCATCATCATCATCGAAATATATTTAACCTAAATTAGATGTTTAAAATAAAAATTACCAAATTAGAAGGTATTTTTTGGCAAATCAATTCAGTTTCCATGTCTTAGGTAGTTAAGGCTAATTTGTAAGAATCATTGAAAGTATCTTTTGTGCTAGTTTCAACTTGTTAAAATAGTCTATGTACTATCTTTAGAGAAGTGATGTACTGTCAGAGTAACGATTGATTTAAGGAATCCGGATACATTTTGTCTTATGCCCCCCCAATGTCTTGGGACGATTGAAAGTGGGGAGAGTCAGCTCTGTCTTTCGAAATGCTCTCACATGGCCACATGTATAAAACCACTACCACCAGGGAAGACCTACTCATTACCTTCTTGCGCCACGGCTGTTGTTTACAAAATTGAGAGGACAGAACGCGAATGTACGGTGCTTTAACCGAGTTGGTGAACACGGAGGATCCACACAGGGGAGTTGGAAAACCCTGATTCCAAACGAATGTTGTACATGGGCTCCAGGATCCTGAGTGAATAAATGGCATATGAACCAATTATTGGTCACTGTCTACCATGTGACTGAATCTCCTGACGTTGCTTCACTGCCTTATGTCGAAGGCTCGGGGTGTGGTCCCCTAGGAAAACCATCTGCTTCGATCTGGGCACTCGAGCAGTATCCCAGCCCTCACACAAATCGAATGATTTATGTGGCGCATATCTATTTGGTGTCTCCTTGTACCAATGTTTATGTGTTTAAATATATAAATAAATATTCACTATCAACTACCTGACTTCTAAATACAATATATACGTTATTGAGTTATTCAGACTACTGAATACACTGTAACTTGATCTACAGAACTCAATCAATACTATGGATGATAAAAAACAAGTGACACTAGATATTGATCAACGGTTAATCAATTTGAAGATAACTTTTACTATGAATTGGTGGGAGTAACTATGACTCTCTTAAGGTAGCCAAATGCCTCTTCATCTAATGGGGAGGTTGTAGTTGCCTTATGGGTGTTGTAGTTGCAGAGTAACTACCTCTTCGTGATTCCCGCTGGTAACGTGGCGGTAATATGCTACTGCGCTAAATGTTACCTTGAGAGCTGGTTGAACGTCTTTAGGCCTGCCTTCAAAAATGGCATGCACCTGGCTTCGTGCTGGACTGTATGTACCCTGGCTTGGTGGTTATTACTCTAGGCTCCAGTGGTTTGGTGGTTTTTACTATGAATTAAACATTGAAAATCAAGGAATATCAAATCCGTTTTTTGATTTCGGCTTACTGATTGCAATCATTTAACAAGAAAGATTTTCATAAGCATTATATAATAATTAAAAAATTTCTAATCATATCTACAAGTCAAATGCCATAATTACTATCATCATGAAATACGTCACTATACTTACTTACTCCTGTTACTCCTCGTGAAAGAGCATAGGCCGCCAACTACCATTCTCCATCTAACCCTCTTCCGAGCAATCCTTTCCAGTTGTTATTCATCCTTTTCATATCTGATTCTATTTCCCGATGTAATGCGTTCTTTGGCCTTCCACGTTTTCGTTTCCCTTTAAGATTCCAAGTTAGGGCTTGCCTCATGATACAGTTTGATGATTTGCGTAATGTATGTACTATCCATTTCCTTCGTCTTTTTCTAATTTCCTCTTCAGTTTGAATCTGGTTTGTTCTCTACCACAGTAGGCTGTTACGAATGGTATCTGGCCAATGGATGTTGATTATCTTGCGTAGACAACTATTTATAAATACTTGTACCTTCTTGATGATGGTTGTTGTAGTTCTCCAAGTTTCAGCTCCGTACAGTAGAACTGACTGTCTTGACGTTCGTATTGAAGAATGTGACATTGATATTGGTTGATAGACAGTTGTTTTGAGTTCCTTATTTTCTTCAATTGTAGGAATGCGGCTCTTGCTTTTCCAATCCTCGCAAGTCTCACTGCTAGAATTTGACCTTTAAACTAATAATTTATCAGTCATTCGTTCATAATTCTTGTGTCATTCATTTTACGACACGGTAATACGATGTGATGATTAGAAGTATTTGAATTAGTGTACAAGCTAAGAATCGCTGAAATAACCCAATTTAACCAAGAAGAACTAGATGAGCAGAAATGAACGTATTATATTTGAAATTCGAAATCAAGCGATTATCATGTACAAAATAATCATTACTTCATACAAACACCACATACGATTACCTTTCTTCGTTGATAGTAACTATGTTTATCCTAATCTATAAGTTAAATTGATCTTTACAATACGTTTAGATATAAATTATTTGATTGAGATTATGAACCGATTTATGTTAGACCACCGTTGGAAACCTGGAAGAACTGGACGGCCGTTTCGTCCTATCGTGAGACTTGACAGCAGTGCGCATCCACGATCCCTCTCGCGGGATTGGAACCCAGGGCCTTTAGTCTCACATGCGAACGCTTAACCTACTGGACCATTGAGCCGGCATTCAATGGTGTTAATGTCTAACCTCAGGCAATCCGCGAAGTTGTGCGACCATCTTCCATTTTACTGAGGTAGATACCTGTTTCTACTCGATACGGATTAGCTCCACTGGTCACGGCTTCTCACCAGAACTCCGAGAATTTTCTCACGAGGGTAGTCACTAGTGAGTACATGTTAATTATCAGTTTAGGGGTTGTGGAGATTGTCAAGTTTTTGATTGAGATCATGAACCGATTGATGGTCCAGTAGGTTAAGCATTCGCGCGTGAGAATGATGGCCCTGGGTTCGAATCCTGCGGGCGGGATCGTGGATGTGCGCTGCTGAGGAGTCCCACAATAGGATGGAATGGCCGTCCAGTGCTTCCAGGTTTCCAATGGTGGTCTAACATCAATCGGTTCATAATCTCAATCAAAAACTTGACAATCTCCACAACCCCTAAACTGATATAAATTATTGTTTATTAAAATGTTGTATGAGTGTGGTTGTATTACTGAAAAGATATACTCCCTTATAGAGTTATTCTTTCATTCTCTTTTTTTCATTTTTCCATATCCATTCAATCTGGTTGGGGACCACGACATGATAGCAACCGATGGTTAGAGACCCTGAATGACATGGCTCAAAATCGTTTGCAATGGCGCAGGTGCATATACTCTTTATGTTCTCCCAAATTCTAATCTTCTTATTCTTCCTTGTCTCTTTTTTTGTCTTTCTAAATTTATTTCACTGGATTATACTCCTTGAATAACATCTTCAAACACTAATCTTTCCGATTACTGCTTATACGCTTACTACCTCTACCACTACGGGATTTGAATCGACCACTGCATCTCTGTGCTAATGTGGTGTGGCAACTCGAACTGATGTACGTACGTACGAAGTTCTACGTTGTTACTGACTGACTGAGTGACTGACTGACTGACTGACTGATATCCATTCAATTGATAATTGTAAGTAACTCTCAGCCATTCAGTCAGCTACAACGTAGGACCAGGCACATATATGCATACGTTCAAGTTGACATTGCATATAAGCATATGATACAAGAAGAAAGAATTGGTTCCTAGAATGTAAGATATGAAGCGATTTTAATCTCATAGTTTTAAGGAAAACAAAGAGTGTATACAACTAAGCCATTTTGATCGATTCTGAATGATGTCACACAGAGTCAGAAACCATTGGTTAAGATAGTCACTCGGAACCAAACCAAGTAGTCTGTATCTCCCAACATGCCTCAGGCTAGAAGTTAGTGACTTTGTGAACTGATACCACGTTTTAGTTTGACTGCCTCTAACTTCCTTCCTTCCAACCAACCACCCACCTACCCCAACACTAGTCAGCATTGCACGTCATGGTAATCGGAGTTCAGGCATACATGACACTTGGTCTAACCATCTTAGTTGATGAAGGATTCACAACCACCTCATCAACTGACTTACCACTATCATTCCCTAATACCTTTGCATCTAACCTCATTATTACTTATCATGTAAATAACTTTACAATTCTGTAAATGATAAATTGTTAACTATTATATATTCATTCATAGTGTTAGATTATTATTATTGAACATGTTTATGTATCATAACAATACATGAATATTTTGAACAATCAATCATCTTTATTACATACATAGTTGTTTCTAATGATAAAACATATAAGTAGTATATTCAAGTTTTAAGAAAGAAAAAAACATAAACAACTCGAATGTACCCTACAAATAAACAAAAAAACAAAGAAACATCATTTTCGATAAAATAACAACAACAACAACAACGAAATTATTGATTATTTGGCAAAACAAAAAGTTGATTTTCTCTAATTTTCCTCCTACTTTTTTTTTTAAAAAAAAACTACTTATGTTTGTGTATTTGGAAGCTGTTCTCTTTTCTTTTTTTTCTTTATTGCTTCATTGTTTCCATGTTAAGTTTGTAATGGTTAAGCATCCTTTAAGATAAATAACTTGGTAAGTATTCAGTTATGGTGATGATGCTTTGGATGATGATGATGATTCTTTGGATGATGATGATGATGATGCTTTGGATGATGATGATGATGATGATGATCGTGATCCTGTAACCTAGTCGATAATATGTTGGTATTTGAAATACCAAGAACTGTGTTGGGATCTAAATGTATGTATTAACATGGTACAGTTACATCCAGTTAACGAATCTTAAATAAAATGAGATTTGTTTTCTAGATACCACTGTTGATCACTCATGACCCTTGTTGACTTCTTGAAAACACCTTGGGAGCATTGAATTTAGTTCATTAGTTGAAGGTCGTTAATTTATTATTATTATTATTACTATCATTGTGATGCGTGCTACTTATATCGATATAAGTAGTATATGACGCAAGTCAGGAATATAATGTCTGGTAACAGAAGATTGGGAAGATCAAGAAAGGAAGAACGGGAATAGAAAGCAATTAGTATAGAAATGTAAGAACAATGAAGTCCGAGACAATGATTGAACATTTTGCAAATTAAATATTATGATATGGTTTTTCTATTTT